GGACCTCAGGGTAGCTAGGCCTGCTGTGCTTTGGCTTTGAGAGCCCAGTGCATACAGGGTGTGAATCTTGAGGGACACAGAGAGTACAGCAGATAGAGACAAACACGTGGCACCTGGAGTGGCATTTGTGACTCCTTCAGAAGTCACATGGTGTCACTTCCTCTGCACACTCTTACAGGTTGAAGCAGGATGTCTAGACATCGGGAGATGTCTAGCTAGGTCCGCTGGGCCAGGGTAGCAGTGCATGGCGGATGATGTGGATGTCATTGTCCCACAGAGAGTGTGTGGGTGGGTGTAGACGGGCCTGGCCATCTCTGGAAGATCGGGTCTGGCTCCTCTCTCCTCCGCGTTACACAGATGCTCGGTCTTCCTGGAACATAATCAGTGTATATGCACACGTAGAGCACGGGGATATGTTTATTTCAGTATGAAAATCTGTGAACTTTTTAAAAAGGTCAGAAAATATAGCAATTCTTGACATTTCTCTTCAAAACTTAGAAGTTTTATGAAAATTTAAAATTTACTTAGAATAGTTGTGTATCAGATAGTTATGACAGTTCTTCAGAATTATCTTTGTGAGAGAGCAGTTTACTTTGAAACTTTTGATATTTGTGTTAGAAGTAATAATTATAGAAATAATTACAGAATTATTGTTCCAAAATGGACAGCATATGGAATTTTTTTTTTTCATACTGGGGACCAAACTCAGGACCTTGCACTTGCCAGGCAGGTGTGGTGCCACTGAGCTAAATCCCTGGCCCCAGCATATGGAATTGATGACATCATTTTTTTGTTTTTTGGGGGGATACCGGGGATGGAACTCGGGTACTTGCGCTTGTGCAGCAGTGTTTGTTTGTTTTTTGATGACATCATTTTTTTGTTGTTGGAAATGAGGTTTAAATTCAGGGCCTTCTTGCTAGGCAAGTGCTCTACCACTGAGTTACATATCTGCCCCCTTTAAAAAAATTTAACGTGCCCAAATTGACTTCAAACTTGTGATCTTTCTGCCTCAGTATCCCAGATAGCTGGGATTACAGGCATGTGGCCTCATGCCTGGCTGATTAATAATGATTTAAAGCAAAATGTAGTAAATTCTCACTAATCCAACAGATGAATATGGGTGTTTAATCTAGTTTGTGGACTATTTGGGTACTTTGATTTAAAAATTTTATTTTATGATTAAAAAAGGTCAAGTTCTTTTCTCCCATCCAAGTACTAACCAGGCCCAACCCTGCTTAGCTTCTGAGATTAGATGAGATCGGGCGCACTCAGGGTGGTCTGGCCAGAGACAAGCTCTTTTCTGTGTATTCATTTATAGCCTCAGAAGAGAAGGATAGTTGCATTCAGCCCTTTGATATATATTCTAAAAGACTGAAGCATATAATACTAGTGAAATGTTGATAGCTTTGCGTTGTACAGCTGTAATACTGTGACTTTAAAGTTTGGTTTATTAGATATTATTTAGCTTAGAGTACAATGTCTTTAGGGTTGATGGCTGATGCAAATTTTCATGGTTAGTCAGACTTAGTTTGCCATAGTGTAGAAAATATCATTACTTACTAATGAAAAGTAGTGAATCATCTAACTGGCCTGTGCAGGGCTATGTAGAGCGAGCGGTACGGCAGCTGTGGAGTAAAAACAGTTCAGAGGAACTGAGAAGATGGACCAGTCTGTGAGCACACGAGCCAAATTGCCTGAGCAGCTGAGCATCGGATAACGGTTGTTTTTTTCCTAAACTAAAACCTCAGTATTCAGGTTTAATTGTAGTGTTGGCACTTCGCACTAGAAAGTGGGTTTGGGGTTATAGTTTGGGGACTTGGTCTCTAAAAGATTTGCCATCACTGTGATAGCTTTGGAAGAAAACCTGAAATACATAATACTAAGAGATCAGCCATGGGAAATAGGTAATTTGCTAAACTGGGGCTCACTCATACATGAATAATTGAATATTCCTTAATGTAGTCTCTGAGAAATTGAGAACTTTATTATATTTTTTGATTTCTGTATAAATATTGCAGATTTTACCTGGGATATGTGATTATTTTGATCACTAAATTATTATTATTATTATTATTATTATTATTTTTGGTACCGGGGATCGAACTCAGGTCCTTGCGCTTGTGCAGCAGGTGGCGAAACCACTGGGCTAAATCCCCCGCCCAATCACTAAATTATTTAAGTAGATGACTAGTAAACTTCATAAATCTACATTAAAATTAAACACAGTATAATTCTTGTATTTACATTGTACTTTAAGCCCTTTAGAGTGTGTTTACTTCTATATCACCTCAGCCTCCACGGGCAAGGAAGTGTTTGTGCAATTTGCAGTTCACAGTATTGGTTCTAGAGTAGTTTAAATTGATTTTAAATATATAACTAGTAAGTTATAGAACTAGAGTCTTAAACACACACGCTTGTTTTTGCCATTCATTCATTCATTCATTCATGCTGTATGTATTTGTTTTTTGAGATGAGTCTCCCTGTGTTGCTTTAACTCCTGGGCTCAAGCAGTCCTCCTGCCTCAGCATTCCTAGTAGCTGAAACCATAGCTAAGGGCTGGGCTGTTTCTACTATGTAATGTAGCAATATGGTTATATGGGTCAGCAGTCATGTCTGATCTTGTCATTTCTCAGCCCGACTATAATTTATCTCCAAGTGTCTGATTATATTTTATGTTTTTGCTGAAACGTGAAACCTGGTTCATTGAACACTCTGCTCTTTTGTGATTTCTTCTTTTGATAGATTTATTCACCCATCATTTCTGTGTAATTTTCTCCTCATTCTTTTTCTAATTTATTTTAGTTTCCTAGATGAGTTTATTTCAATCAATGGGGACCAGAGGGTGGTTTTGTTTTGTTTTTGTTTTTTTTTTGGTTGTTTGTTTGTTCTGGTGGTGCTGGGGATGCAGCCCAAAGCTTCGTTTTTGTACATGCTAGATCAGCTCTCTGTCACTGCCTCACCACCCTAGGCCTAAGTAGTCTGTTCTTACTTATTTTTTGTTGGTGGCTCTCTTGTCTTTAAGCAGAGCATTTCTAAATTTTAGTTTATTATAGTGCTCAATTGCCTGTTCCTTAACATCCTTAATATTTATCTCATTTATACTCTCTACATCTTTTGTCTTCTGAGCCGTAATCACCAAGTCCTAAATTGTCTCTTTTCAGTTTTTTAGTTTTGCAGTATTGGAAATTGAGCACAGGGGCTCACTTATGCCAGGCAAGTGCTTCACCACTGAGCTACATCCCTGGTCTTATTTATTTTTTATTTTGAGCCAGGGTCTCACCAGGTTGTCCAGGGTGACCTTGAATTTGGATCCTTCTGCTTGTGCCTCCCCAGCAGCTGGGACTACAAGGGTGCAGCACTCACTGCAGCTGATCCTAAGGAGCTCTTGACCATTTCTTCCCACTCTGCTGTACCCACTCTAATTCAAACCACTGTTGTCTAACCTGGACTGCTTCAGACTCCTTACAACTTGGCTCCTCTTTCTCTAGCCATTTTTACTTTCTTCCTGTCTCTTCTCCACACTTACAGCAAGAGTGATATTTGAAAACAACAGAGGACCTGTCCCCAGTAGGAGTAAAAATTTAATTCTGAATGAATCAGTATGATGATGAATGGTAACTGTTGTTTTCTCTGTCCCTACAGTTAAGCATTTGCCTAGTGGGAGACTGAAGCAAGATGGCACATAAAATATATCTGGTGTTGGAGTTTTGTGCCCTTTTGTAGTCCAGTAGAGACCCTGTTTCCCTGCAGTACTCTTTTCCTCTCCCTTCCCCCTCACTTTTCTTTTTTCTTCCACTTAGCCAAGCACAGGCTAATACTCAAGTTTGGTCATTTGTATATAATCTGGTTATCTGGATATAGAAAGTGAATAATGCAAGGTTTTCGCTTCTTACTAGGTAATAGCAATAGTGTACTCTTGTAGAATTTACTAATATTATATTTGTACTCTAGTTCTTACATTTATAATGCACTGTAATTGGATGTTTGGAACATATTGCTCCACCTTTAAAGAACATATTACCTTCTCCAAAGGGGCCTGGGGTTCTGAGAATAGAAAGGACTCCTTCCTTTTACTTTAGAAAATTTCTCAACGTAGACAAAATAAAGAATAATAATTGACTGTCCTTGTACCCATTGCCCAACGTCAGCAGGGCTGATCTTGTTTCATGTAAATCTCACTTATTTCCCTCTACCTACCACCAGATATTTTGAAATAAATACCATTATTTTATATACAAATACTTCAGTTGCAGTGACTTTTTCAAGGGCATAATGACAGCTGTTGACAGAGTCAGAATTTGAATCCAGAACAGTGTCAGTCACTGTTGAGCCTGTGATAATAGCTCTTGCTTGTGGTTCAGTGTCTAGGCCATGTTTATAAAGTGATGGCACTGATGTTTACAACCACATATTATTTAAAAAATTAGTTTTAATTTATTGAACAAGTAGTTTTAATATCACAGGATAATAAAGGAGCATTACCCCCAATTCCACTACCCTAAGATGAAGGTTATTTTCATCACTTTATGAGATATCTTTTGTACTTTGAATGTCTGTCTCATCCATCCATGTGAATAGATTTTTTGGAGGTCATTTTATGGAGTGCTTCTTTTTCCTTGAGGGATAGCACCCCAACATGAGAAGATTGTTTTCCTCTAAACAGGGAAATGTGCTTGCTAATCATTTTCTAAAGTGTATTGTTTATAAGGAAAAAACCCAAATCCTATGATAAATGCTAAAGTTAATTGATAGTTTGTTTCCATGATAGCAGGGTAAAATTATCCTAGAGAATAGGTTGAAATTCTTCCAAAGATTTCTGAGTTTTTCTAGTCTGAAACATTACATGGTGGTAAAGGATTCTTTTTTCTTTATCTGCATCGAACCTGAGTTTCAGTTTATATGTAAAAACAAGGTAAGTGCCACGGAGTTGTAATCTTGGAAGGAAATAATGTGCAAATAAATATTTGTAAGTAATGTAAGTATGTATTTTTGTTTAATAGGCATCAAGCATGATGGGACTATGTGTGATACCTGCCGTCAACAGCCAATCATTGGCATTCGGTGGAAGTGTGCAGAGTGTACAAATTATGATCTGTGCACGGTTTGTTATCATGGAGATAAGCATCACTTGAGGCATCGCTTTTACAGAATTACTACACCAGGAAGTGAGCGGTAGGGAAAATAATTTTTTTCAGTTGTGACTCCTTATTTGTACTCGTTTTACACTTCTTAGCCTCTAAAAAATAGGATTAGGAAATAGCTTCTGACAGTGCTTTTTGTATGAGGAGGTAGGGAATAGCTAGTTAGATGTCTCGTGGAAGGGCTTTGTGACGATGGAACTGTACAGATTTTGCCAAGATCACTGGGCTGTTCTTACTCTAGACAGTTGGCACCACTCAGCAATTGGAAATGTGAGGGCATCCCAAGAAGGGCTAGTTATTTTTTTCTTGCTATGTCTTCTATTCTGTTAATTGCTACCAGATGAATATTAGGTCCCATTGATTGAAACCACATGGCAGCTACTATGCTTGTGGAGACTTGAAGATAAATAAAACAGTATTATTGAGTTTACAATTGGAAGACATGATTATTGCCAGCACTGATTATCATGTGCTGTTTTGGACTATAGTAGAGATATATGTTACATGTCTTAGGAACAATGAGAGGTGTATTAATTATTAATGGGTCTGGAGTTTTGGGTGGTGGAATCTTCTGTCTTAGTTACTTTTCTCGTTGCTAAGACAAAATACCCAACACCTAAAGTTAAAGGAGGAAAAGTTTATTTCAGCTCACAGCTTGTAGTGGTTTCAGTCCATAGCTGGCTGAGTCGAAGACAGGGTGGCATAACAGAGGGGCATAATAGAGGAGAAACAGTTCTTGGCAGACAGAAGGCAGCAGAGCAGCAGCAGCCTCTCTTTCCCTTTTATCCCTTCCAGGCTACCGCCCTTTGGGTGGGGCCTCCCACACTCAGGGTGGACCTTCCCATTATCCATACCCAGAACTATGCCAAACCAATCAGTAGACTAATTTAGTAATCACACACCCTTAATCCCAGCATCACACACTCCAGATCTAGCCACCTCTGAAAAATACTTCCTATGACTGCATGAGGCTTTGGAGGTGGGGGGTATCTAGACATAAGCCAGAACATGTAGATAGGGAAAATCATAGTAGTAAGAATACAGCCAGTTAGAGTGACAGCTAAGAGTAGGAATAAATAGATTTTTGATTCACAGGGTCTTGTCATTTATTAACTAGGTAATTTTAAACAAGTTACTTATTTATCTTTTGCTTACAAAAGCTAAGAAATAAAGACATTCTAAAAAAATAAAAAATAAGATAAAATTAGGAAAAAACAAAACAAAAACCTGAAACTTGACTGAATATGTGAATGAGGAGGAGGATATAGAAGAATAGGGGATGGATAGTCTTGGAGAAGCAAGCTGGTACAGTTAGTTGAATCTGACGTCTTTTTCAGGGCCCATAATCTTCTCTGAGTACGCAGTACTTTGGAGGCAGTGTTGTACAGGTCAGATTCCTGCCACAGACATTTTACTTGCATACAGAGTACTCTGAATTTTTGAATTATTGCTGACCTCGTGTGGATTGTGGATCCTTAGATCACATACTTTAGAAGACTCTCACTGCTGGACCTTGTGTTTGCTCCTTGCTGCAGTTGGCTGAGGTCGAGATGCGCCTGCATTCCCCCAACAGAGTGAGCTTGGGGTTGTCCAGAGCCCTGCTGCTCACGCTGTCTTCCCTACTCTGCGGTCCAGTGCTTTCTGACACCCGCTGTTGCCTTCCCTGGGCCCCTGTTTGTGCTACTCATGTGGCAGCTACAGCAGCATTTGAGTTGCCACCACTAGGTAGTGAAGAGTGTAGTGGTACCCTGAAGTGGTTAGACTGGGTTCATATTTTGACTCTGTGACGTTTTAACTTGTGTGACCCTGGGCAGATTACTTTTTTGAGATTCAAGAGTCCTCATAAAATGGATAATGTCACATTTTTCTTTTAAGGAATGTAACACACTTTACATATGTGCAAGTGCTTTTACATATAAATGACTGTTACCCATTTATACAAACTTGAAGATAAATCATTTTATTTTTAGGGTTCTGTTAGAGTCTCGTAGAAAATCTAAGAAGATTACAGCCAGAGGAATCTTTGCAGGTGCCAGAGTGGTGCGAGGTGTGGACTGGCAGTGGGAAGATCAGGACGGAGGAAATGGGCGCCGGGGAAAGGTACAGCATTTTCCAGTTCCTCAGTGTTCCTAAATACTCCATGTTCAGGAGATTGCTGCTATAAATGAATCTCTCGGCCATTCTTTTCCTGTGCCACTAACAAGTTTTAAATCTTCATTTCTCTCCCTCCCTCCCTCTCTTTCCCCCTCCCTCTCTCCCTCCCTCTCTTTCCCTCTCCCTCTCTC